TTTTTTTTTTTTTTTTTTTCTCTGGTACCGGGAACCGAACTCACGACCTTGCACTTGCCAGGCAGGCGCTTTTTTTTTTTTTTTTTTGAGACAGGAGCCCTCGAGGTTGCCTAGGTTGGGCTCCAACTTGTGATCCTCCTACCTCAGCTCCTAGAGTGTCAAAATTACGTGCAGGCGCCGTCACACCTGGTTCCTGGTCACTTACATCTCTAAAAGTGAGTTTCTTTGGAGTCCAAGTCACAGGGCCCTTGCTTGCTGCGGGTGATTTCCACGCACTTGCTAACTGGTAGGGGTCAGGGCAGCCAAATGGCCTCTGGTCTTTCTTCTCAGCTGCTTATAGAATCCTCAAAGGGAGAGGCAGCGGCATTCGCATGGCTTCCTGAGTCCTCTGCAGTCGTCCTTCCAGCTCTGTGTGCACCCCCACCGCCTGCGGCCTCCCTGAGCCTGCCAGTGGCTGGGTAGGTGCTGGTGGGCACTGACAGTCACTGGCATTCTTCCTGGTGGTAGAGACTCCGTGGTTAGGTATCTGTGCCACTCCCTGTGACTCCAGGAAAATCCTGATTGTCTATAGCAGGCTCCAGGGGCCTTGGCCTGGGAGAAACGTGTGACCCATTCCGCTAAGGGTGATTCCAAGGAAGCTTTCTGGGAGAAGCTGGAAATGTTTCATCACCAAAGAAAGAGACCTACAGGAAGGGAGAGTGTGGGACACCCCCCTGTGGGATGAGTAAGGGAGTGAGCAGCTCAGGACACCCCACCACTCATAAAATCCTCATGAGTCCTTGTCAAGGAAGCTGCATTGGTATTGGGGACAACGTCAGCCAGGACTCAGATCTGGGCTGTACATTTGGAAGTGATCATGAGGCTCGGGGGTGAGGGGGTTTTCCACAAGCCAGCTACAAGGGAAGAGCTGGGGACGGATCTGTGGAAATCGATTCTCTGTGGCTCAGGGTCTCAAGGACCTGTGCTCATAGCCCTCAGCTACCATGCCCCCCAAGCTTCCTTCTGGGCTGTCCGGAGCATCTACACCAGTCCGAGGCACTGAGATTTCAGCCAGGGACATAGTTCTAGAATTAAGAAGTTTTCAGAAAATGGGACTAAAATTTTCCTTTAATCCAGTGGTCCCACTACCCAATTTTGCTCTGTAAAAAAAAAAAAAATCACGTGAGCACAATTTCTCTGCCACACAGACCTGACTCAGCCTTGGGGATCAGGTTAGGCGGCATCAGTCACCCGAGAAACCAGCACGTACAATACTCCCCTTGCCAGGGTGAGGCGTTCAGCCAGGGCCAGATCGCAAGTGCGCTTGTGCAATTTCCTGCTGACTTTAGCAAGTGTCACTCAGCTGAGACGTCTTTGCTCAGCTCCTCCTGGGTTTAGATCTGAGTCCATGTCGAGCCCATATGCAGAGTAAGTGGGAAGGAGCGCGGGGACTTGCAAGGGAATGGAGCAGCGGACAGCAGAGATGACAGCAGGCGAGAGCCACAGGGGCAGACAATAAGAGAGAGGGGTGTATCCCCGGCAAGGTGGTTCCTGGCCAACCTAAAATTCTTTAAAAAATTGATTTAACACATTTTTATTGAAACCTATAATTATCCCCCTCTCCACAAAACACATATACATAAATATGACTCAGTTTTTTAATGTAACAACTGTCAGATTTGGTTCTTCCAATATGCTCCCTATGCATAATCAAATTTACATGGCTCTACATCTTTTTAAAAAGTCATTAAAGTAGCATCATGTTTAATCTCTTGGTTTTCTCAGTGAATGATACATCTTGTGATGTACAGCAGAGGTAAGAAAGGTAGCAAGGAGACAAGGAAAGGCATAGTGAAAAAATTGTGCTTTAAGAAAAACTGCAGGGCATGGTGGCACACGCCTGCAATCCCAGCACTTGGGAGGCTGAGGCAGGAGGATCGTTGCAAGTTTGAGACCAGCCTGGGCTACAAAGTGACCTCAAGGCCAGCCTGGACTGCATAGCAAGACCCTGTCTCAAAAAGCCAAAAAAAAGGAAAGAAAGGAAGGAAAACTGCAGCTTTAGCACACAGTTACCCAAGATCCAATGCGTTTTCCCTCCATGAAATTCATTTCAAAGGGGGAAAAAATTCCTAAGCCTGTACATTGAGCAAGAGCTTTGCACCTATCAATCAAACCTGTGTTTTTCTTCCCAGAGGAAACAGCACCACTATGCGGCAGCACAGCTCCAGACTTCAGGTGCCCGCCCACAGCTTGCCTTCCGCCTCACCCACCAAACAGGCGCGAGGAATGCACATGCTAGATGTCTTGAGACTCCCCAAGACCACCTAAACCCTAACCCCAGAGGGAATGAGGCTCTCCTATGAGGACTGGCACTCTATTCCCTCTGAGGGTATACTCCTTTAATTTTGCCTAACCTTTTTTGTGCCTTTTGTTGGTGCATCTTGAAAATTCTTTTTCTGTCATAGCAGTCAGAAAACCTACAACCTACCGTGTGTAGGGTGAGTTGAGGTCCCCATCTCCACGCTGGGGGACTTCCTCAACCCTGCCCGCAGACGGATCTGTGCTCCTCCCAAAGACTGTGTAGTCTTCCAGCAGAAGCCCACACCATCAAGTATAGAGAGGGTCCCTAGGGATGGACACTGAGGCAGGTGATACTTTTTCACCACTACAAATGTGACAGACCTGGAATCTGTGTTCCTAGGACGCTTGGGAGCTATTTGTGATGATGTACTCCAGTCAGGAACCTCCCAGCCTCGTTTGCACTGGGGATCCTGGACAATCAGTGGCATAGCAGCCCAGGATCTAGAGGACCTAGTTGATGACCAGAGACAATCTCATATTTTTAAAAAGTTACTTGTACAAAACTAGGCATGGTGGTACACGCCTGTCACCCCAGCACTCTGAGAGGCTGAGGAAGGAGGATCCAAGTTTGAGCTCAGCCTGGGCAACTTAGCAATTTAGTGAGACCCTACCTCAAAATAAAAAATAAAAAGGGGTGAGGTTGTAACTCAGTGTAAAAGCCTTGAGTTTGATCCTCAGTACTGCAAAATAAACAAATTTTTAGCAGTGGTTACCTGCTCAGCTAGAGTGGACAAAAACACATGCCAGAGCAGCATCCTCTCTTCTTGGGGCCCACTTTCAGAACTGGACAAGCTACTGCCCCAAATGACTCAAGTTCAGACACCCCCCAATCACGGACATGGGGTCACGTGCTGCTTCACCGGGTCCTGGTACTGATCCTGCAAAGTGGGTATTGTTAACATTGCTAGTCTTCCAGGTGGCAAAACTGAGGCTCAGAGAAGACAAGACATCTTCCCAAGGTCACAGCGCTCACAGATGGCAGAAGATCCAGAATCCAAAGATAGCTCTAATGCAGTCTGTGTTCTTTCTAAATCCAGGATGCAGGCTGGATCATGGTGCCTCTGGAGAGCTTTAGACTGGACAGCCTGCCAGTCAGCCTGAGTCTGCAGGATGGGTTTGTTTCCTACGACTACTGTGACAAATTGCCTCAGAGCTTATGCTGCAGAGCAACACAGATTATTTATCTGAACAGTTCTGGAAGGCAGAACCCAACGCTGGGTCTCCCTAGGCTAAAAGCAAGGGGTGGGCAGGACTGACTCCCTCTGGATGCTCCAACCCTTCCCTGCCTGCCCAGCTGCCGTGGGCAGTCCCCTTCCGGGCTAATCGCCCCTTTTCCAGCCACCTCAGCATTCCGGCTCCTCCTCCTATGTCACATCTCAGGTGATTCTGACCCTTCCTGTGACTCCATCGGACCCACTGGGATCACTCAGGACAAGCCCCTTCTCAGGCTCCGTAGTTTGTTCCCATCTGCAATCCCTCCTGCCACGTAAGGGATCAGGTTCTGGGGAGGAAGATGAGGGCATCTCTGGGCAGCCATTCTGCCTGCCACTGGGGGCACTTTGTCACATCCTAGCTCTATCATTTGCTAGCACATCCGGCCTCACCTGGAAAATGGGAAAAATAAAATCTTTCTAGGGCTGTTGTACGATCAAATAGCACAATGTATGCCATACACTGAACCCAGATCAGTAAATGGTATCTATCATCTTCCCCACTGCCTACGACAGTGCGTAATAGAAACTCCACCATGTGAGATTCATTTCTTTGGATCTTTTCCCAACGATAAATCTCAGGCCATTGTCAGCTGACATTTAAGGGGGATAAGTTGGCAGGTAACTTAAGTCAGCCTTTTCCACAGGACATGGAGAACCAGGGTGATCCAGAGATAATAAAAAGGAGTGGGACCTGCAGGGAAGAATGGTAGGAGGCCTGTGGTGTCTTTTGCTAGCTTCTCCGACTTGCCCGTGGCTCAGCTTCGCCTGTGAATTTCTCCTGCCTCTCCCCGCATTAGCCAGGGCAAGCCTGCTTAAGGAACACTGGGAGATGATTTTCTGAGATAGCCAGGACCTGCCCAGTTTGGTTTGTGGCATCGTGGGGTGGGTCTGAGGCTGGATCCCAGCATGGAAAATTACCAGTGCTCTTCGCTTCCAGATTTGGGCCCGCAGCAGCTGCTGAAATGATCCTCCCCAGCCTGGGCCTTCCCCAAGTGGGTCTCGAAAAGAATGAAAGTAAAACCAGATTTTCAGTCTTATCTGAGAGCTACGTGACTGCCTCCCATCCCTACTTGGGAGCCTGGGAAAGCCCTCAAATTCATTGTCTCAACTTTGGGTACACACAGCTGTGAAACAGAGCACGTCATGAGAGGCAGCTGCCAACACAAAGGGTTCGCTTGATTCTCAAAAATGATGTGTAATTATTTGGAGGCTTTTATTCACCCAACTAATATTATTAAGTGTTTGCAGGCATGGGGACCGTCTACCCTGGAAGGCAGTAAGCATGTGCCTAGGAGGAAGTATTTTATGGCAGGTGGAACACACACTCTGGAGTGGACCAACTTGGGTCTAGATCCAAATACTCGGGGCTGGGGATTTAGCTCAGCGGCAAAAGCGCCTGCCTGGCAAGCGCAAGGTCGTGAGTTCGATTCCCGGTACCGGAGAAAAAAAAAAAAATACTTCCCGGCTGTGGAAAACTGGGCAAATAATGTCACCAACATAAGCCTCTGCCCTCCCTTCTGAAAAATGAGTGTAACCAATAACCGCCTCCAGGCTTGTTATGAGGATTAAATGAGCCGGTTCAGGGGAAGTAGATGGCACATGGAATTGGTTCATAGTAACGATGTCAGAAACAGACGTTACTGTTATCATAGTCAGAGAGGCTGTTTTCCCAAACGCCTTGTCCACCTCCAAATCATAAAATGAGTTCCCAACTTGCTGTTTGGTGGCCAGCAGCGTCCTCTTGAACTTCTATTCTTCAAGTTAAAGAAGCAACGATGGAAAAACCACCCACGTGTTAGGCGGACACAGGTGGACACCATGTGTCTCCTTGGATTCGTGCACACCTTGAGATCCCATAAACCGGCAATGAACTTGGCAAGTGGTCGAACTTGACCGCTGAGTAGGTTCAACGTGGAGACAGCGGATTTCCAGCAGGAGGCGCCTTTGTCCTTAGCTGGCTTCTGGGACACCCGACCCCTGTTCATTGTCTCAGGGGTTGAGCTTCAAAGAGTTGGACGCTCACGTAAGAAGGGGCGCCTCCCGGCGTGACCTCTCTTGGAATTGAAAACAACCTCAAGTTGGGAGGGGGCGGGCTAGCTCTTCCATCTGCGTTTAGGACTCACGTTTTTGGTGGTGTGGCTGAGATCAGCCCTCTAGTTCTGGGGCCAGGCCGCGCGGTTCCAGGGCAAACCTCCAGGCAGGGACGGAGGCGCAGGTGAGAGGCGTCCGCGCGGGGACCGAGTTCACGCTTCGGGAGCCAGGGCACCGGGACTCCCGGCACAGGCGGGCCACTGGTCGGGGCGGGAGGGCGCCAGCGCCGGAGAGTGACTCGCCGGGAAAGTGCTCCACAAAGCTGGGAATGCGCCCCTGCAGGGAGAATACCTGGCGCGGTGCAGGAACCCGGAACCCGGAACCCGCTCCACCCAGCCAGGGGCACGGGCATGCGGTCAGGAGAGCGCCCCGGTGACCAGGAAAGGCGGGTGGGGAGCCCTGCGGAGGGCGTGAGCCGGCTCGCTTTAAAACAACTTGCTTCCTCCTTGAGCCTGCCCTACCTCCACCCATCGCTCACCTCCGAGAGCACTACCACCCCGAACTCGGCCCAGGTGAGAAGAGGAAAGTTTTTGGCCAGGTAAAGACGCTGTGGGTCGGGCTTCCGCATGTGCGCGCGGCCTTCCAGTGAGCAGAGGAGGCTCCAGCTCTACTTCAACCCGTAAGCGCCGGGACTCCTGGCCCGAGGGCCCCCCTCCCACCCTTACCCCCCCCCGAAATGCGAAGTCCCATTTTGGGGTGCGCGCATTCCCAGCCGAGGAGAGACCGCGCCGCCCGCGCTCAGCAGCCAGGGTCCCGCTCCGGGCTGGGGGTGGTGCAAGGGCTCCGGGAGGGCTCCAGCCGGGAGAGGCGCCGCCCCCCGTCTCTCCGTCCCTCCCCGCTGCGCCCGCTCTCCCCAGCCGAGCTTCCTGCGTCCGCATCCCGGTCCCAGCGCGGACAGCGCGCCCTCTCCGCGCCGCGCTCCCTCAAGCGAGGCTCCCCAGAGCCCGCAGCCCGCGATCACGGCGTCCCCGAGGAGGCAGCCCGGGGTAGGGGTGTTGCGGAGCCCCTAACCCCGGGCCGCCAGGCTGAGCCCTAGCCCGACCCGCTGCCACCCGGGTGAGTCTGCACCGCCGCGCCGGGCGGAACGCGTGTGGGTCACGGGGCCGGAGAGGGAGCCAGGGGCTGCCGGTCGTTCATCCGCGGAGAACGTCCCGCCAGGAGGCTGCCACCGCAGCAGGGATCGGGGGCCCCGCACCCGCCTCCGCCGCGACCCGCGGGTCCGGGACCCCCGCCCCCTGCTGGTAAGGCAGCTGCCTCAGAGGCCCCCTGTCGGCGGGCACCGGTGCTGGTCCAGGGTGCTCCAACGAGGGCTTGGGGGAGGCACCTGCCGCCGGTGCTGTGGAACAGAACCTGGGTCGCAGGAAGCACCGGGGCGCAGTCCGCTTGAGCTCTCCTGCCCTGATCCTTGTTCTTTTCTGGCTTTTTTCCAATTTAAATTTGTGTGCCTGTGTGTTTCACTTTCTAGAAGCAGAGGCGTGAGAAATCGGGTGTGAGCAGAGTGAGGTGAAACTCTAGCCCGCCCCAAGCCTCGGCTTCTTCGTCTGTAAAACGGGGGTGATAGTGACCCAGGGTGCCTAGCACGCAGGTCACAGGGAACAGCAGAATCCCAGTGGGGTCTCCAGTCTGCGCACAGACGCGAGGCGCATGGCCCGGGGCCCACATCTGATGAAGAGCGTGGCCACTTTCAGAAAGAAATCTGACCCAGGCGCCCCAGCAGCTCCGTGGGCACCTTGGCAGTTGTGGGTTGTGACTGTGATGGCGCCGTGGCTCTGGCCTGGGTCCTTCCTGGCAGTTGGGTGATTGGGGTTCTGGGAAGCCCGGCTCTGGTGGAGCGAAGTCGCCGGGGTGATGTGGGCGGGGCGAGGTGGCAGGCAGGGTGGGTGCGCTCAGCGTCACAGAGTGGGTGGGGGTAACGCCCGTGAGGGCTGCCTTTGGTTTTCGTTGGAGCTGGTAACTTGGAGGACAGCGTCTCCTATCCCAGTGCTACCAACCCTTAACACTCGAACAGCTTCCACGTTTGACCTTTTCGCACAAGTGGACAGGGCCAGTAGGAACCTTCTCCAAATATCTCCCTACCTTTCTTGCAGATGGGACAGCCCAAGTCTCCAGGGTATGGAGATAGGAAAGTGTGGGATATGCCAGGCAGAGAGATGCTTCTGCTGTGGATGGTGGGTTCTTGGGTGGGTGGGTAGAGTGAAGGGAGTGGAGGGTCGGGGATGGTGGGGACAGACAGGGGCCATCCTGGGATCACTCCACAGATATTCCTTGGGCCCTTTCTGCGGGCCAGGCTGCCCTGGGGGAACAGAACAGGACCTATTGGGGATGCAGGTCCTAGTGGGGTTCTGGAAGTGCAGAGCCATTTGATTCCATCGCAATGTTAAGAAGGCAGTTCTGGCTGGGGGCGGGGTGTAGCTTGGCACTAGACCATTTCCCTAACGTGTGCATGGTCCTGGGTCCCATCTCAGTACAGAAAAAAAAATGACTAGACTATAATTCCACCTGCATGAGGGATCTCGGGAAAGACTGATGGATAGAGAAGGCTGCAGGGGGTTGGCAGGCCCCAAGAGGGCAGGGATTAGCATGTGGCCCTCCCACATGACCACTGGTCGAGGGTGAGACTCGTGGACTCGGCGTGGGGCCCACAGCCCCAGCTCTCCCTGATGAGCAAGGCGGTGAGCACCTGGGATGTTGGCAGGACCGCAGCCCCTCCAGCTGCAGCTCTGTGACTCTCAGCCCCCGTCTCCTCGGGGAGGGATGGCGAAGTTAAAAGCAGCCTGACTCCTGCTGACGTTTGTCCTGGACCATGACCTCATGGAGGGCTCCTGTTTTCTGGGGTCGAGGTCCTGTGAATGTTTTTCCTTGCACTGCAGGGCACGTGGTGAAGGCTGTAGGCACAACTCTTGGAAAGGAAGAAGCCAGAACTGCTGGAGCTTTGGCGCTTGGCTTCTCTTGCCCCGGTTCCAAATTAAGGCGGGACCTGAGAGAGAGGAAAGCGCTAGCAGTCCCGATACCTGTAATCAGCATGTGGAAGATCTGCTACTGGTATCCCTTTTGCTTTCGCTTTGGTTGTCTTTGCCCTGGAGCTTAGGAGAGTCTTCCTGGCCATCAGCAGCCGTGGGAGCATCCTTTCCATGTTACACCTTCCTTTGCTTGGGAATGACAGAAGGACCCTAGGATATCTCCAGGAAGGGGACCTTTGGGTCACCAAACTCACTGCTATCATTTGACCAGTCTAACTCCACAGAGGGAAGAGATTTACCCAGTGACATGCAGCAAATCAGAGGCAGAAATAGGACTGAACCCCAACCTCCTGACCCCTTTCTGGGGTCTTTCACATAATCCCGGGAGGCCTGGCCACATTCAGATCAAAGGTTTGCTTTAGGTCCCAGTCTTGGTTGTTTTAGAATATCCCAGTCTTTTTGGAGGCTTCATAGCGTCTTGCTCTTCCTTGGCAGTGGCGGGTGGCCGTGCCAACCTGGCAGGGTCTGTTCTCCCATCCCCTGAATGGAGGAGCCCCTGGTGCCTCAGTGACCCTTCCTGAAACTTCTTGCTCCCCAAAGAGACCTCTTATGTGGTTTTCCCTGCTCAGGCTGGGCTGCCCTACCCTCCCAGACAGCCTCAGATCAGGCCCAGAGCTTCTGCAGGGTCTGCAGGGTCTCGCTAAACTCTGCTTTTCTCCTGGCCTGGGTCAAGCTTATTCCCCACTCCTCTCTCTCCCGGCTCCACCCACATCTCAGGACCTCTGGGTTGGCCCGAGACTTCCAGCCGGTGTTGTTTACTTGTGCCGAGAAGCCAAACACCTCCTTGTTCTCCCTTGCCCTGGATTTGTCCGACACAGCAGGCTTGAGACCTGAATGCCGGTTGCTTTAGATCCTAGACCACTGGAGCCGGCAGGGACCTTCGCGCCAGAAAGGCCAGTCTGCTCTTTTCACAAATGGAGAAACTGAGGCCCGGGGAAGGAAAAGAACTTGCCTGACAACAGAGCCAGAGGCAGTCGCCAAGACTCTCAGTTCTTGGGTGATTTTGAAGGTGATTCGCTGAGGGAGGGAAAAAAAGCCCAAACCGAAGCAGAGTTCACTGCCTCTTCAAAAACTCCTTTCTCCCGTCCACACCCAGCGGTGTTTTCAGGGCATCCACGGTGACATTGTCTAGAAGAAGTAAAGGCCAGGGGCCCTGCAAGACACAAGGTGCCCATCCAGGGGTTCTGAGGTTTCCAGGTCCTGTCTGGAGCACAGGTACTGACCCAGCTTTGTGACATGTCCCTGCTTGCGCCTGCTATATTTTCTTCCCCAGGTCACAGAAGTCCAAGTTCATTGTGAAGAAGAAAAGTGTCACAGATGCCACCCCTTACACTCTGGCCTCGGAGCCTGGGTGTTTGTTTGCTTGTTTGCTCTACTGTTCTGTATCCTAGTTTCTCAGTTCCTCATCCCAAGGTAGCCTATCCCATGGGAAAGTTTTTATCCGCCAGTCTCAGCTGCCTCTTCCACCTGGTGCTAGCAGGGACTCAGGGGGCAGCTTTTAGGGCCAGTCCTATAAGGCTCTGCCAAATGCATAAGAAGCTTACCATTCACCACCATGGGATGTTGGAGGGCTATCTTTCTGCGTTACTGTGAGTGTTTGGGCAAGGGCTGTATTTACAAAATCTAAAGCACAAACCAGTTCTTAAAAGCAAAAAGAAGCCAGCCATCTGGATGGCATGGAAGTGACCCAAGGATCACACAGAGGAGGGGAGGAAACCTGCTTTCTTCTGATTTTTTTCCTTGTATTTTAATTCAAGCAATGCTCCCAGCCCACCATCACTAGCCCTTGTTCCAAATCTTCCTGGGGGCAGGCACTGGGGTAGCAAGAGGAGGTCCCCAGGAACGTGGGAATTGGCTTGTTCACCTCTGTCCTGGCTCTGGGAAAGTAGGTGTTTCAATGGCAAAGATGTACAGAGAGTTGGTTTCCCAGGCAGGTGATGTGGGGAGGTCACCCTTCCCCTTGGGGACAGGATCTCCTGGGGTAGGATCTCGCCCTCTAACAAGATCATGGCTTGGCTTGTGCCAGAAATTGTCAGTACTGCTAGAAGTCCTACAAGCGACCTTGGACATTTGTTTAGCTAATGTTTACAAACTATGGGAAGCAGTTTATGTGTGTTTTACAGTCAGTTAAGTGGTTTTCCCACTGTCTTTTTAAAACATGAAGAAAGTAGACTAGAAAACAATATGTATTTCCTATCATAAGGTGTATTCTTAGGAGATCTTCTGGTATCTTTATGTGAGTATGCATTGGGTCACCTCTTAACATTTCTCACTGGGTGGTAAGAGCCTGCTTCAGTCCATTGGGTTTTATACTGTGATCCGGGGAACTTGGATTCCTTGAATGGGTCCCAGGAGCAGCTCTGGGTGAGATTTGCAGGGATAGAGCTGAGGGGTGGGAGGCTGGGCCGGTAGGCAGAAAGCTGTGCTTGCCAATGTTGCTGGTGTTAGGGGTGCCCCGAAAGATCCCTTCTTTAAAAATCTGAGACTTTAGGAATAAAACAAATCAGAAAGTCAGAAA